CCAAATAAATGAATTTATTTATTTTATATTTATTTATTTATTTTATGTAGGCCAAAATCTCAATAGGTGTTGCCTCAAAGAGTTGGTGTAATGATTATTTATGTATTTAATAATTAAGGTGGCGCTCAATTTTTATTCAGCACCACCTTAATTTATCCAAAAGTGAACACTTGTTACAGTGCAGTTTCTGCTGTTACTGGAGATATTTTAGCGGACTATAGTCACTAGTTTTACCAGCATGGATGCATTGAATACTTAATTTACCTTTCTAAAAAACTGTCGAATATCCATGCTGTCGACTCAACCTGACTTTCGGCAATGAACTGTCAGTTGTTGCGTTAGCATTTGATGTGGCGATGGTGACAGACACGTCAAATGCTAACGCAACACCTGTTGCGTTCAGGAAACCTGGGAGATTTAACATTACAATAATGGCAGGTTATCGAAATATAATTTAAAATGGCCACATTACATTGAATTTGATGCAATATATTAGCAAAAGTACAGGAAAAATAAATAATACTTTTTTTTAAATAATGCAATGAAATTATTTAGGGGGGCTAGAGACAAATAGGCCTAATGACGCCCATGCCTGGAAGTGATGCACGAGTGTCATCTCACTGTTTTTTTTCTTTTTCTCTTTCCCGCCCCTGACTCTTGATGCCTTTTTGACAACATGTCCAGATATCCAAAAATAAACTTCTGCCAAATTTGCGATTGAAGCACAATGGAACAAATTAATAGGGAATGAAAGAGAGGGGTGGTGGGGCACTTAAGGTAGACTGACGAAAGGTCCGCTCAGGAGATTAATCTTTTTTCGCGTAGTCGACATGAATTTTGGAACACATATATTTATGAACATACTTTACAAGCCTTTGATACATATGATATACTGTTATTATTATAATTCCAATTATTATTTTTTAGAAGCTTGTTATTTTTTTTTTTTTTTTTGGGTGGTCCGCCCACCAGGCTGTTGGTGCCCGATGCGCAGTGCCTGATCAGCGTATGCCGAGTGCCGTGCCTGGTCATTGCTCATCTATGAGCCACAGCTGAAGTCCAGCGTCACTGCTGCACCCTCCGTGGTGTGGATGTCCCGTTCTGGCTGGTTCACTGTCTGGCGGCTGATTCCTGTCACAAAAAGGTAACAAAAGTCGTCAGATACCAGTGGAAAGTGGCAGTGACCTCACACGTTGATTTTGGATGACCTTACCAAGGCTTGGTATCAACAACCACCATCATGAATCAATACGAACGTGGTGGTGGAGAAATCAGGCAGTAGGGAGGAGCAGGATAAGCTTGACAAATTGTATGAACAAAACACTGACAAAACTAAATTCAGAACAAAACAAAGTCCTGAAAACAAAAAGAATCCAAAGGAGCAAACAAAAACCCATGGCAGAAGCACGACACTAACAGGAACAGAATCAGTAACAGAAACAGTGACAGCAAAAATGACCCTACACCAAGTGGTTGGGCCGGGAGTACTTTTAACAGAAAACCTACTAATGACATGACGACCAACGGGTGTGCTGCTGTAGGAGGAGACCTATAGAGTCACCTGTGGTCCCAAAAAAAATCAACCCTGACAAAAGATGCATTTAGAAAAATCAAAACTGGGCTGAGATTACTCAAATGAAGATCCAAATCTCACCAAGCAAGCATTTTTTTCGCCACTTTTCACTTCACTGTACGACAAACGTCCATCGAGAATAATGACGAGCAAGGATCAAGGCTTGAATAAGCCATGGAGGACACAGGGCATCGCGAATGCATGTAAGAAGGAAAACTTGCCATACCAAAGTTTTCTAAAGAACAAAAGCTGATGAATCTAATTAATGATAAGAGATACAAAATTAAACTAGTAAATATGTTCAGAACAAGCAAAAGACAACATTAGCATACACTATTAGAACCCAACAGGAGTCACACCGCACACGAAATTTGAAATTCTAGAATAAATGATGGCTTGAAGAAAAACAAATTTTCCAGAATATTTTAAAGAGGATAAAAATATTGTGACTGGTAAATTACCCAACATCATAAATGAATAAAATGAATATTTTAACCACAGTGGTAGTGAACAAGTTAAAGAAATTCCAGAGTCAAGGAATAAATATGAAATAGATAAATACAGTAATCCCTTTTTTTTTTGCGTTTAATTTGTACCGATTAATAATGGAATATTGTATCTTCAAAATTCATTTGACCAAATAAATTCATGCATGGTGAGAAGAATGGCAATAAGCACATATCATATTGTGCTACGTTATGTCAAATAAATGAATTTCATGAGAATTAAAGCTGTATAAATCTTCATTCATTATCTTGTATATTATGTTTTGCGGCGGCACGGTGCACCAGTGGTGAGCATGTCGGCCTAACAGTGCAGAGGTGAAAGCTTCGATTCTGGCCCTATCCTTCCTGTGTAGAGTTTGCATGTTCTCCCCGTGCCTCCGTGGGTTTTCTCTGGGTGCTCCGGTTTCCTCCCACATTCCAAAGGCATGCATGGCAGGTAAATGAAACACTCTAAATTGTCTCTGGGTGTGATTGTGAGTGCAAATGGTTCATTGTCTTCTATGCATTGCCTGCAACTGGCCGGCAACCAGTTCAGGGTGTCCCCCCGCCTGCTGCCCGAAGACAGCTGGGATAGGCTCCAGCACACCCGCGGCCCTTGTGAAGATAAAGTGGATTGGAAAATGGGTGAATGGATGATGTTTTGCCATTCGCAGTCTTTGTCTCCATGTGGATCCTCTCTGATAAGTGCATTTAGGGTCTTTTTTTTCCTGACTTTGGGCTTGGACCTCCCACTTCAAAGTGGTGTTCACAAGTTCCATTCTGACCGTATTTGAGACATGTTAGAATGAAGGTCAACATTTAAATAGAGGCAAACCGTCCGTTTTTGGGCTCCTAATTTTATATCTCACTGCAGGGAAATGGTGCCTTACCAGTCATGAATCTCTCAGATATTGAGGTAGGGATTTGAAGAAGACTCGGCTGATACAAGCTTTTGAGCAAAGAGAACTTTAATTGGCCAGCAAGTAACACACAATACCAAACAAGAATACATATTGTTCTATCAAACATTCCATGACAAAATGGAAAATGGCCCATTTTATTTTGGATCATATCCATTAAAAGACGATGAAACATATCTCGATACGTGAGGTGCTGTACAGTCAAGGACTGTACAGTTAAAAAAAAACAAACAAAAAAACTAAGAACTAAATCAAACAACAAAACCAAAAAGAAAACTTCAGCATCTCAATAAGAAGGTACATAAAATACAATCAGCCTGATGAAGCCTGCTCAGAAGAGAGGTGAAGATTTCATTGATAACTATTCATCTCATCATCACACTTGTGATTCTTCATCTGATACTTCCAGCAGAATCTTTGACTGCAAATTGAGCATGAAAAAGGTTTCTCACGAGTGTGTGTTCTCACATGAATTTTTAAGCTCCTCTTCCAGAAGAATCTTTGGCCACAATCTGAACAGGCAAAAGGTCTCTCACCAGTGTGGGTATTAACGTGCTTTTTTAAGCTTTCCTTGCGAGAGAATCTTCGGCCACAAGCTAAGCAGGAAAAAGGTTTCTCGCCAGTGTGGGTTCTTGTGTGGTAACTTAAGCTTCCCTTCTGAGAGAATCTTTGGCCACAATCTGAACAGACAAAAGGTTTCTCACCAGTGTGTGTTCTTGCATGGGAAACTAATTGTCCCTTCTGACAGAATCTTTGGCCACAATCTGAACAGACAAAAGGTTTCTCACCAGTGTGGATTTTTGCATGACTCGTTAAGTGTGCCTTCTGAGAGAATCTTTGGCCACAATCTGAACAGGCAAAAGGTTTCTCACCTGTGTGTGTTCTCATGTGTCTTTTTAAGTATCCCTTCCAAAAGTATCTTTGGCCACAAACTAAGCAGGAAAAAGGTTTCTCACCAGTGTGGGTTCTTTTGTGATCATTTAAGCTTCCCTTCTGAGAGAATCTTTGGCCACAATCTAAACAGGCAAAAGGTTTCTCACCTGTGTGCATTCTCATGTGTTTTTTTAAGTGTCCCTTCTGAGAGAATTTCCAGCCACAGTCTGAACAGGTGAACGGTTTCTCACCAGTGTGGGTTCTCACATGTCTTTTCAAATCACACTTCCAAGTAAACATCTTCCCACACTGAGAACATTTCCAGGGTTTGTTGCCAGTGTGACATGCTCCATCAAACTCTTCATCATCATCATCATCATCATCATCATCAGCGCTTGATGATGTGTTGTCACCATCTTTCGTGCAAGGGTGCTCTGGCTCCTCCTCTTTAATCATGTCAAGGGCCTGCTCCTCCTCTTCCTCTTTAAAGTGGGAGACCTCGCTGCTCTCCTCTTCCTCTTTAAAGTGAGAGGGCTCTGCAACCAGCCGCTCATGACAAACATCTTTGCTGATGTCTGCACGACACAAGAAGACACACACACATGCAATTATGGTTTAGAATTACAATGAAGGTTACTCAGAGAGCTAGATGATTTCAGATGACAACTCAATATGTGACATGAACAGCATCACTTATTAGTGGTGGATTTTTCTTTCTTGGGTTATTTTTATCAATGGTGGTTTTATTCTTTCTTTTAAACCATGGGTATTTCTGAAAAGACTTGTATTAAGTGTGACATTGCACATTTTTGAGTGGTGGATAAGTCCAGAGCGCAAATTCTACCTTGTGCTTTTCACCTTTGGCAGGGCGCTTTTGACCTGCAAAAAAAAGAGGGATGACTATACAGTAATCCCTCACTATATTGCAGTTCCTTGATCGCAGCTTCAGTACATCACTTTTTTTTTTTTTCAAAGTACTGTTTTCAGAAAAAAAATGGCGAACTCAGAGGTTTTGTACATGGCTGGACTGTATCGGCACCGAGCACATTCAAGGCGCATGATTGGTTTCCGGTGCGACGTTGACCAATGAAAGCACGAGTGGATTTATCTTGTGAGCTGATTGGCTGTGCATCTTCGCAGCCCCGCCCAGCGTGAGGAGACACTCGGGAAGCCTTGTGTCTCGTCACGCTGTTGATTCTCTGGCACACTGTCTCTTCTATTTGCTCCGTGCGCAGAGAGAGAGAGCGATTGGGAGCGAGTTAGGGTGATTGGGCTTGTCTTAAAGCAGTAGCAGCACATCTCTCTTCGCCTCCTCCTCATTAATACTGATTAATTGTCTTATCATAAACACATCGGCTGTGCGGGGACAGCTGGCAAGGAGCTCGCTGGAGGCCAAGGGTGGCTGCACCATCAAGAGCGTGAAGTGAGAGCCGCCTTCGACGCCACCATGACAAGTCTCTTCACTTCTCTCAGGGGGTAGTGCTGAAGGATGTTCTTGACTAGATCAGGTTTTGAAATGAAAGATTTAAGGAAATAGGTGACCTGCTGTAGTCTTTGTCTCAAATATATGAAGGATAATCACTGTTTGCACATTTTAAACATGCTGCTACGCACATAAACTGACACAAAAATTCCGAGTGTGGGAGCGTACCCTGCTTCGCGTTTTTTAACTTATCGCGGTATGGTCCCGGCCCCCATTAACTGCAATAAGTGATGGATTACTGTTTATGTATATAAAATCCTCGTCCCACCCCTCGAGTGGTGTCCGTCCCCCCATTCAGCTTGGGTCCGCTCCCAGAGGCCAGGAAGCTTGAGGGTTCTGCGCAGTATGGTACCTTTACGAATGGTTTATTCATAAAGGTACCATGCTACAACCAGTAAATTATAGAATAACCAATACTGTTTCATATTTTTCTCAGCGATTAGCCTACAAATCTAATGACCAATTTGCCTCGTAATCGTGCCTCGCGTCGTATCTCGCTCTCGCGTTCTGTGCATACATCCCAGGTGAGTTTAATGATACGCCCTTTGGACCATTCATACGAAAAATCAGACTAGCATTCCCATTTCTTAAATGTCATAATTAGTAGACCTTGGTGAGTTTTTTTCGCCGCCATCTCAAACTTTCATCCGCGCGATTCCTCAGTTTGCTGACTTAAATAGCAATCCGCATGCGCACATAACGTCCGTCATCTGCTGCGTCCCCCCCAACACTCAAAACAAAACAAAACGAAAGTAAATTCGAAGAAA